TGGTAAAGTGGAGGGTCAACGAAAAATGGGAAGGCCCTCAACATGGTGGATTGACACAGTGGCTGCAATGATGAGTTCAGGTATAACAAGGATCATGAGGCTGTCACAGGACCGGGTATTTGTTCTGCTGTATATAGGATTGCTATGAGTTGGAGACGACTTGATGGCACTTAACAACAATTTTGATGAATATCTTTCTGAAATGAATTTTATATTCCCTTAACATGTCACACAGAATATATCAGAGATATTAGCAAGAGTTAGAGAAGGTAGCATTCCTGCAAAAGGTGGGCATGATACCAGATACTGAGGATGCAGGTAGGACAAAGGGAATATAACAGAAAATTGCCCTGCCTTTTGAAACATTTTGGATTCTTTCTCACCTGAGAAAATGGGGAGGCATTGAAGAGTTTTAAGCAGGAGAATGACAAGATCAGATTTGTTTCAGAGATTGCTCAGCTTGCTGAGTGGTGGGTGAATTGGGCTGGTGAGCAAGGAAGCAAGCTGAGAGCCCAGCCACCAGGGTGCTGTAGGGTCCCAATGAGAGATGGTAGGGACCTGGACTCGTGTATGACCCCAGGTGGGAAAAAAATGATTTACTTATGCCCGGTAGCTTTATGAAATTTTAAATAATAATAATTTTAAAAAAAACCTAATGGCTGATGGAAGTAATATCAGCCCATTTTGAGAAAAATGAAAAACACAGAAAAGTGTGAAGAAGATCACAACCATCTCCCAATAACTCACCACCCAAACGTAACCACTGTTAACAGATAAAACTGTTTTCTCCTACTTTGTTTTAGCTGAAGGATTTCTAATGCATTTGTAGACAGAAATTTGATTTATAAAAATGTGGTTCAGACAGATGTTTTTCAGAACACATCTCTTAATATCAATTGAGATATTCCTCAGTAAGAATAAAAATAATATGTAATCCCAAGAGATTCAGTCAAAAACCTATTGGAACTAATTGAGAGATTTAGCAACGTCGCAGGATATAAGATCAACATCCAAAAATCAGTTGGATTCCTCTACACCAGCAAAGAGATTGCTGAAAAAGAAATAAGGAAATC